TATCTTTTAATTACTAAAAGTAACTTAAATATTATACTTTATACTTAAGACCTATCTTTTAATTACTAAAAGTAACCTAAATATTATACTTTATACTTAAGACTTATCTTTTAATTACTAAAAGTAACCTAAATATTATACTTTATACCTAAGTCCTATCTTTTAATTACTAAAAATAACCTAAATATTATATTTTATACCTAAAACCTATCTTTTAATTACTTTCTTTCTTCTTATTACTCCTCTTATTTAACCTCTATAATATCTCTCTCCTTAATACCTCTTATAAACGCTAATAATAGTAAATCTAATACCTCTTTCTTTTCCTTTCCCTCTTATATCTACTATAGAGCTTATATTACTTTTAAGTTCTTCTTAACTTTAATCCTATCTATAATATTTTCTTTTATTATTTTATAAAGATCTTATAAAAAAAGTAATCTTTCTACTAAAGCTTAATAGACTAATTATATTTATTTCCTCTTTTAAGACTTAAAAGTTTTATAATCCTTTCTACTTTTTAACTATTTATATTATAACTTAATATTCTTAAGTAAAAATACTAAAATATTTAAACTAAGAATTTTAATAAGAATTCTAAGTATAGTAAATTTACAAATTAAGTTTATAAACTTTTTTCCCTCTCTTAAGCTAAGCTCTTTTATAAAATAGGTAGCTAAATAGCTATCTACTCCTTTTCCTTATTAAGTATTAAACCCTTCTCTTTTTAAGAAGTCTTATAATTTAAGTAATTTAAGCCCCCTCTCTTAGTAAATACCTCTTAACTCTATCTACCTCTTCTATAGCTTATATTACTATATATAGATCTATATCTAGGTAGTAGTTATCTTTATACCTACTAATTTATTAATAATACCTCTCTATTACCTTATAAAAGAAGCTAGTTATAAGTATTTAGCTCTATTAAACTTCTTAGTTAATCCTTTAACCTTCTATACTATATTATATAGTGAGGAGGTAGCTCTAATATTATATTTAGCTAGTAAGTAATATAATTAATCTTTAGATATAGTTCTAAATATTTAATAGAATATAAGTTCCCTAATATAATAATAATTATCCTCTAATATTTTAATCTTATCTTCCTCTCTTAGTTCTTTTATAATATCTTAAAATATAGCTTAAGACTAAGATATTCTCTCTAACTTATCTTTCTCTTATACTTAAATCCTAAAAGCTTTAAGTATCCTAAAGGCTTATAAAGTTAATTATAATTATTTAAATAGTTTCCTTAATAGGGAAGATTAGCCCTTAGTTTCTTCCTCCTCTACTACTTTAGTTATCCTATTATTAAATAGTTTATTTCTTTTTAGAACTTTATTAAACCTATTATCTATATTATTTAAATATATATTATTATATTACTATTTAGAGTTTATAAGCTTATCTACTATAGATATATTAGTAGAGTTAGCTATATTATTATTTTATTAAAGCTTAAAACTATTCTTTTAATAACCTTTAATAATTCTTTAGACCTAACCTTCTAAATACTATATATAAGAAAAGTGAGGAAGATATAACTAGTAAATTACTTATAAATAATATCCTAACTACACTTTAAACTCTCTAAGAGTACTACTAACTTTATAATATAAACTATATATTTATTTATTTTTATTTAGCATTTTAGGTTCTATTTAAATCTAATAATAAACTAGTAGAAATACTTACTCTCTTATATAGTATTTAATAATATAGCTTTTATTTATAAAGATAGCTTAATTATTATAGTAGTTTATTAACTCTTACCTAGTAATACTAACTATAACTTTATTAATAATTAAGCCTTCTTAAGGCGTTACTAACTATTAAATATAATATTATCAAAATAGATAGCTTTCTATTTTAGTACTATTTTTAATAGATTATTAAAACAGGCTAAATCTAAAAAGACTAAATTATTAGGAGAAAATAGAGCAAAGTATTAATATAATAGGTATTTTAACTTTTATAATATATCTATATTCTCTAAACTACTTATTATACTTAAAATAATATTCTAATATATACTAAGATTTAGCCCTATTTAAGATTTATAAAAAGTAGAATACTCCCTATATATAATTTTATAAATCTTAAATAGCTAATATTTTAAATCTATTAATTAGAATATATAACTTTAACTATTACTAAACCTAGATTAATATCTAAGATACTAACCACTTATAACTTATAATAGCTTATAAAATAATACCCTTAAACCTATTATATAATAAATTAGTATTAATAATATTCTATACTAATATAAAGGCTTTATATTAATCTAATTAAGGGATATAATAAGACATAAGGGGTGATATAAATATCTATAGCTTAAGGCTAAAGTTAGGGAATAAAAAGGTAGTATAAAAGGATATTTATCTATTAATAACTAGATAAAAGTTATATATAATACGCTAAGCCTTCTTATAATAC